TCGACAAAGATAATTAAGCAGATGATCCAACATTCGAGTCGCTCAAACAAATATTGCAAATGATCCGCGGTATATACCATTCTTTAAGGTAATTCATTTTAACACATTACATTCAGACGTCAAAATGAGTCGCGTGGCAATCCCAATCTTAACTAATCTGACATAACTGTATTGGATTTATTCCCAATCTTAACTAATCTGACATAACTGTATTGGAGCGATTGACAGAACTCACATGCATGCACAAGTCTCTAATACTGAGAAGGTCACATGTATTAGATTTAGTGGATCACCCACACAAAATGTGATAGCCATATGTAAGTTCAACATGTGCAGATTATAGTGACCATGATGACACTCCACAAATACATTCGACAATATTATTCTCGAGCTGATGCAGACTTCAGCACGACTGACGATGACCACTTACTCGCCCGTCGGAAGATTTTGAATATCACGTAGGACAATCTATATCACAACCAGAAATGGAATCACATGAAGGTTACACCCAACATTATAAAGGTGCCGTAGAAATGCCTGATTTGAGAGCGGATTACAGATGCCATTGTTGGATGTTGATTGGACGATTTTTATTTATTTAATAAAGTCTGTTTATTTTGTCACATGCATGTTTGATATTTTAGATTTTTGAAGTTTTATGTTGTTTGTAATTGTTTTTTATCCTTTTTCGATTTCTTTTCGTACTTTTATTTGTTGGTTTGTGAGGTCCATGATGAGACGTTTAACCTTGTGGGTTATTCTGGATGACCTAGTAGTCATTGCTGGTTGATGTCATATATGAAATCCTCATAAGAACAACTAAGTTCCTCTTTTCTTTTCAATACAGGGGTTTTTGAAGTACTTCTGGATGACCTGTTTAATCGTTATTGGTTGGGGTCACATGTAAAATCCATATAAAGGCGACCAAGTTCCTCTGCTCTTTTCGAGGTTTGGATTTTTGATGTACTTCTGGATGGTCTTTTTTTGATGACATGCATGTGTGACATACGAGCTTGTTATAAAGTGAGCTAAAGACAACTAAGAACCTCTGTTTTATAAGGTCATTTTCTTCTTGTTATGACATGTTCGGTGGAGTTGATGTACTTAGTATTCTGAGACCTCGCGCCCTTGTAAAACTATAATTGAATACTGTGAGCAAAACTGTAATTGAATACTGTTTTTGTCAATTTATAAAGTGCATGTTTATTTTTTGTTCTATCGATTATTGATATTTTATATATTGTAGTTTATGCTGTTTATAATTGTTTTTTCTCCTTTTCGATTTGTTCTATTTTTTTTTGGGTTTGTGAGGTCCATGATGATACGTTCGACCTTATGGGTTCTAGATGGTCTGTTAGTCGCTGTTAGTTGGTGTCACATGTGAAATCCCGATAGAGACAACCATGTTTCTCTTTTCTTTTTGATGCAGTGTTTTTTAGGCAATTTTGGATGTCCTTTTTTGGTGATATGCATATGTGACACGAGTTTGGTATTAAGTGAGTTAAAAACAACAAAACTATTTTTTTCACACGGTCTACTGTGTTGTTGTAGTGGTAGATTCATTGGTTGGTATATTGAGTTCTCTGAGACCTCACGCCTGCAAAAAAAGTATAATTAATAACTTATGTTAGCAATTTCAACTTGTGTTATAATTAATGAATTGCCTTTTGAATCATTCAAGAAAGATGAGTTCCAGGATTTCAGGGATCTCCTGACGAGTACTCAGCCACTGCGGACTATAGACTTTCTTATTGACGTTATGTCAGACACATAACTACGGGAAACAGTTCTATATGTGCCCGCGGGGCATCACAGAGAAGTGTGACTTCTTCCTGTGGACAGACAGTTCGACAGATTCCACTGATGATAGTGATTGGGGTTGGATGGTATCCCTGGAAGACGTAGCTCGTGACATACGCTGTCTCGATTTTAAAATTAATACTATGATACTTTTAATTGTAATTTTAATAATTTTTCTCTTTTTTAACAAACTTGATACTCACTGTTAAGTGAGTTATATATCTTATTTTTTGTACTGTTCTAAAATGATTTTATACTTTTTCAAATATTAATTATATTGCTATGTCAGTTCTGTTACAAACAACTTTATTGTACATGGGCAGAATGATCATTTATCCAGAAAGTGTCGTTTTCCAACAGCACAAACCAAACATCCAACTGGCTTATCATGATCAACAACTTATCTGATCAGCTGCTTATTAAATAAGCTGCAGTTGCCCCTAACAGATCCTAAGTGAGCTGCTAATGAATTTACATATTATGCTAATAAGCTGCAGTTGCCCCTAACAGATCCTAAGTGAACTGCTAATGAATTTACATATGCTATTTAGATTTTTTAGTGATGTATTGCTTTTAAATCCTTTCAAATATATTATGAAAGTTATGTAGCCATTTCAAACTAGCACTACAGTTATAAATGATGAGCTGCTATAGCAATTGGCTTTTTGTTACTTAGTATCTTGACATCTTGTTTTGGTTGATAGGTAGTTATTGTTGTATCCCATTTGATTCCCTCTAGTCAGATATAGGTGTAACATTGGAGTAAATTCAGTTAAACTCATTTTCTAGCAATATTAATCCTGATTATTGCTTTAGTTATGAATACTCTTACTGGACATTTACAAGATGGTGTACCTTGGTGTATGCTGATGATATTCTTCTTGTGGATAAAACTAAAGAAAAAGTTTAGGAAACAGTTGAATTCTGGAGGTCTATGTTGAAGTCTAAAGGCCTTTGTTTGAGTATAACTAAAAGTGAATACATGAAATGTAATTTTATTAATAGTAACTCTAGTGACAGAGTTGTAATTATGACTCTCGGATCTATTGTTCAAGGTGATGGTGATATAGATGGGGATGTTATTAGTAAAATTCAAGTTGGTTGAAGTAGAGTAATGCATTGAGCCTATTGTGTGATTTAAAAGTACCACTTAGACTGAAAGTAAAATTTTATAAAAAGGTGGTGAGACCTGCAATGCTCTATGGTGCATACTGTTGGCCTTTAAAAGAGAAGCATAAAACAAAGTTAAGTGTTGCTGAGATGAGAATGCTTAGATAGATGAGTGGCTTGACACTTAGAGAGAAACTGCGAAATGAATATATCCGTGACAGGGTTGTTGTAGCTCTAGTGTCGGACAAGAGTAGAGAGAGTCGTCTTAGATGGTTTGGTCACATTAGATGTCAACCATCTAATGATCCGTTTAGGAGAGTAGATTTTTTAGATTTGTCTTATGTTAAGAAAGGCATAGGTTGACCTAAAACAACTTGGATATATTGTATAAAAAATGATCTTAATTTATTAGAATTAAATGAGAATATGACACTCAATTGGATGTAATGGAGAAAATGATTCATGTAGCCGACCCACTTAGTGGGATAAAGGCTTATTGTTATTGTTGTTAATAATGATTTTTACTAATCAAGACTGAGTGAGCAGATATTTAGTTTGTTTAAACCATCATAAATTATGCATTGCACTTCAAATTCTCTAATATTCATCATAAAAAGTGAAATGGAAACATGTATGGAATAATCATTAAAATAGAATCAACAACAATAACAACAACAACAACAAAGCCTTAATCCCACTACGTGGAGTCAGCTACATGAATCCTTTTTCTCCACTGGGTACAAAGATCAAAAGAATAACGAACTTCTTAATAAACCTATAATATAAATTTATACTCACAAAATTCTTTAATTTGCATCATGCACATTTCTTCTATAACACCAACCAATATACTATAATAAAGACCAAATTGGTAACTTGCCCACTTATTCCACTTGCTCATTCCTCTTTCCTGGAATCACAATTATATTATCTGATGAGCTCAATGCTCAATGAGCTGAACAATTCTAAAATAAAATTCTAACATAAAGAAAAAGATATGCATGCTGATTTATGACTTATCATAGGTATTATCATAGCTAGCTTAGTGCAGTAATAATATTAAAGAAAAGCATGTTTTAATGCTCAAGTAATAAAAAATATTAGGTCATCACCAAGCCTATTGGTCACATAATAATTGTGGCTAAAGATTGGTTAGCCTAATATTGCAATTATCTCGTCTTACTTTGGAGTCAAGAGCTAAATACCCTTTAATTTTCCTACTGAGGCTTATCTCATTAGAACTTTTACTTTCCCCTGTGCAGGTGATCATAGTCTGCATACTAATCACTTATATATATATATGTATGTATTATTTATTTATTTATTTTCTTAAAAAAAGAAATCTATATTTGATAAATGTCCAAATATCGATTCCCCATGCGCTTTTTGGCCCCATGATGAGAGCACATGCCTTGTGCCTAAAATTCCAGAGCCCTGCGCCACGGTGGGATCAAATCTTTTGATATATATGTTTTTATTAAAATACTTTGGATGATTTTCAGGCTATTTGAAAAATGAGAGATAATTTAGAAGCAAAATTTTGCTTTTCTTTTTCGTCATTTTTAGGCATTACAATTGTAGGTAGCTAAACTTCATCTCTTATTTTCATCATATCTAAGAGTAATTTTACATGTTCTCGCACTGCCTCTTCTTATCCTGTTCCTTGGTACGCATGCTCTTGTTTCGGATTTTGCTATAGTACGATGGTGGAATATCCAAATCAACATATTAATTTTGTATTTTCTTAATAGATGAATTAATCAGTATTTCTTTTTTTCCGATTAATGAATTTTACAAGTGTTTGACAATATTTAGTGCCTTGTGGGCTCTATTGCCAAACTCCAGCATATGCATGTTGACAAGTGCACCTGCTGTGTTCAAAAAGTACATTTAGCTGAAGCTATCTCTTTGTTTCTAGTATATGTAGTGCTGGATATAGTGCGGGTAAATAATCTCTCTTAAAAATAGTTTGTAAAAACTTTTGAGATGAGAGTTGTTGGCCCTTCAAATTTGTTAGATTTTTTACAATTGCTTGCTCAATTTTAATAAGACAATTCTCCTTAAGCTAACGAGCTTCCTTTATTATGCAGCAATTATTTCTTCTGCTTTTTTGTTGATACATACTTTTTCCATGGTCATTGCATTCAACGGATATGCAGAAAGTCGAAAATCTGATCAATTTTTTGTTCCTGTAATTCATATGGTTGCTTCTATGATGGTGAGTATCAAGCCTTGAAAGAACTAAATTGTTTCATTATTTTGCTTAGCTGGCTATTGAAGTTATTTGAAAATTCTCCATTTCTTAGCAAACATCAATCTTTTAGAAGTTCGCTTCACCAAGTTGTACGTACATTTTAGCACTCATTTGTATCCAATAAATTGCTTCATGAGAATGCAGTACCATTCATTGCATTGTTTGTAGGAGTATGTCAATAGTTTTGGAAGTCTGTAATAACTTTGAGCAAGCAGACAAACAGTATTGTGCCAACACATGTACCTGAAACACCCAAAATGTTGGAAGGGTGTCGGGGAAATGGAAACAAAGAACGCCAAAGGGGACAACATAAAACTAATTTTCCTTTTTCTACGAGTTTGAGTCAAATGAAAATGAAGTTATTTGTTTATTTTCAAATATCCAATCATAATCCATGGTTTTGTTAGTGTCATCACTCTAGTGACAAACAAGAATTTTACTTTCTAAGACAACTTTTCAAGGGCCATTTCGCTGGTTAGTCTCTTTTTTCATGCAAAATCTTTGATAAATTTCAAGTTTGCCTTAATTACCCTGTTTCCTTTGAATGAGATGATATACCTTTGATACATTTCTACTGATTTGATTCCAGTAAAATGCTGGTTAATTCACTTTAGATTGCAAGCTGAAATAAACTGATTTGACATTCTCTTTTCATCTGTTGTTTCAGTATTGTGAAGCTGTCAGTCTCTATTATGTTCAAAAACAAATATATTTTATTTCTGTTTTTCCACTTCGTTTGGTTGTATGTGTTATTATATTGCGGCATTTACATGCATACCACCCAGTTCCTATGTATATACGTATCTAACACCCAAAATTTTCTTTTCTACATTTATACCGCCCAAATCTTTTTTATCACATAAAAAATATCACTATTTTAACTTTTAAAAAGTTAACTATACCTTTTCGTAATAAGGTGACATGTATTGAAGTTTAGGCATTAGACATGTAAATACATCAGAATATTGAGGTATGTATGTAAATCTTCCTAATATATTTTATTTATCTGACTGCTGTAATTGAGCATTCTATGATATGAATCATTTCTATCAGACTCTGATCAATCTCGTACCTGGGGGCTGTGCTGTCGGTGTTCCTCTGCTCTGCTTCTTTGCATTTGTCACTCTGCATTATTGTTGGAGGACGGTTTGTCGGAGGCTGATAGAGAACTAAGATGACAGACAATTTGTTAGCAGGTATCAGTGTTATAAACCACCCAGCTACCCCTATCAACTGTGATGTTTTTGGTGAAATCATTTTAATCGAAGGAATGAAAGCTTCTCAGAAAAGTTATGCAGCATCATTGGGAAAGCCTATTGTTCTTCCTGGGGAAATTTGAGCATTTGAATGGACATGGGTTGGTTACTGGTAACATTTTTGTCATGATTACTGTGCCTGCTTTTATTTTCTCACTTTTCCGATAGCTGACCACACATCATTTTATAAGGTACAAGGTTATTTGTTTGTGGTGGCATGAAATGATTATTATGGCTTTGGTGTTTTATTTTTCCTTCTTCTTTAATTTTGATGAGAATGAATTTTATTAGTTATAGATTTGTTTTTAATATAATCAACTATTATATTACATTAATCTCATAATAAATTGAATAGTTTTATAATTCATTTTGATTAAATTTTGATGAGAATATTCTCAGCGCCTTTGTTTATCCATTATCTATTTTCTTTTCTAAACCTCAAATACTTAAAAATACTTGGCAAGAATTGCATTGAGAAATTGACAACAGGGGTATATTTCCGATTAATAGCTTATGTCGTGAACTCTGAACTGAATTTCATGTCATTGTGAACTGACCGAATAGGTAGAAATTACATTCAAGTACATCATAATGATAAACTTGTGGAAGTACTTCAAAAGAATCATAATAATATATTCATCCATCACGCTCTTCAGCTGCTTTGCACCTCCATTTAAACCAACAAATTCTCTCCAGTCTAAAATTTAATCAATTTATTTCAGTTATAACTACCCTTATTTGTATATTTTTTGACATCATTATGCCCAAATCATCTTACTTTCGATATCTTCATTCCAATAGTCTGCAGTCGCTATACCTTGAATTTAATTGTTGCTCCGATTTTTTGTAGTTAATCATAAATTTATCACAATAGTCACAAATACGTTTCACTTGTTATCAATTATTTTTCTCTCGCAGCACTCAAATCCATATAAAATAATGCAAAATTTCTACATACAACAAAATTCTTATGTCTTTGTATTTCTAACTCTCGAATATTTATATTTATATTTATAACACATTGACGATAAGTATTATAAACATATGCACAAAAGTGTGTATTTTACTTGTAATAAGAAAATAATTGTTGACATGTTTGATATGATATTGAGGTTTTGACTGTTGTAGATGTGAATATGAATGTTCGTTAGATATGTTATTAGATAAGAATTTTGTGGCATGTATGTAAATGCCCCAGTAAAAAGTTGGTCTAATTGCAGTAAATTTTAAAACCAACTTTGAAATCTTCAAATCAACGTGTGTCTATATGTATTTTGGAGAGGAAGAATATTATCTTCTGTCACAAACTGTGATAGCTTGGATTTACTGTTAAAAAAAAGTTAATGGTACGTGTAAAATTAAAGCGACTTTTAGCTAGTTAACGTGTGACTTTTAAGTTCAAATAATTCCAATCAACTTTATGGAAGCTGAAAGGTAAAAAAGAAGAGAATATGTGTTCTATGCTTTTACAAGATGGTACTTACATAGGTCAATCAAGCGGTTGCAGGTTTGTTAGAATTTTTACGAACCTCTGATTTCTTTTGGCTTTCCTAAATATGTTGTACTGTTTAGTGGAATGATCTTTGGCTAGAGGTTAGAGCTTCCAAGTTTGATGGGTATTGGCAGGGCTTGACTTAACAAACGGGGCAGACAGAAATTTGTTTACTTGAAAGAAGAAATATGCGAACTAAATTATGCACTTAATATTTTTTTTGATGTTTGATTAAAAAAAAAAAAATCATAAGCTAAAGGTCCGTTTGGAAACATTTTTTTTTTTTGTATTTTTAAAAATGAATTTTTAGTGCTTTTTTTTGTTATTATTTTCTTAATTTTAAAAACCAAGCTGTTTTTAAACACCAAGTTACTTTGAATTGTTGAGATTTTTAGAAATATCTAATTCAATTAGCTGCCATTGATTATTGCTATCACCATTGTTGATCATTGTTATTGTCTTCACCTGTAGGATTGATGAGTGCCTGAAGATCCGCGATGGTAAAGTAGTAAATTAGCATCTAAGTATAAAATAAAATTCAACACAAATACACACATAAAATAAAACTATCAGGAGGAGACACAATGATTTTTATGTGGAAAACCTTGGAAAGGGAAAAAAATTACATGATATGGCTTAGTCGAAATAATCTATTACGGAATTGCAAGTACATAGGTCCACTCTTCTCCTGAGTTATGATAGAGTTACAAAGTTGATCATCCTTGACATAACAATAATTCATCTATAATAGCCGTAATCTGACTGTAGTTCTTGGCAATAACGATGATAGTAGGCTGCAAAGCTAGAGTAAAAACGTGGAGACAGTAGTCCTTTATAAAAACGATGGAGACAGTAGTTCATTAACTTTTTTAAGAATGTTGTAGATATAGTAGTCCATCTATCCTCCCAGTCAATTATTGTGGAGGCAGTAGTTCTTTAAGAATGTTGTAGAAGGTGGCTATAACACTGACTTTTTGTAGAGGTTGTAGTTGAAAGTTATAGTGTTTGGCCATGTTGGATGTATGCAATAGCTTCAAGAGCGTTGGTTGGCCACAACAACCGTAGTGGAGAGCTGTGACAGTATTTATAGACAGCAGAGGCCGAAGTTGGTAGCTGTAATAGCTATGAATCACACAGGTCGTAGTTGGTCTCGTAGGCCGAGAGCTGTAATAACGTTCATAGGTCGCAGAACTTGGAGTTGGGAGCTATTTGAGTTGTGATCTATGTAGGCCATGGTTGACCACATAACATGTAACAGGGAGTTGTAATAACATTCGTAAGTTGCAGAGGCTTGAGTTGTGAGTTGCATGAGCTGTCAGCCACATAGGTCGTACTTGGTCACGTATGCGGTTGTGATCCATGTAGGCCATAGTTGACCACGTAACATGTAACGGGGAGTTGTAATAACATTCGTAAGTTGCAGAGGCCTGAGTTGTGAGTTGCATGAGCTGTTAGCCACATAAGTCGTACTTGGTCACGTATGCGGTAGTGGTGAGTTGCAATTACGTTTATAGGCCGTAGAGGCCAAAGTTGAGAGCTATGTGAGTTGCGAGCCACGTAGGTCATATTTGGTCATATAGGTTGTTGCGGGGAGTTGCAATAATGTTTGTAGGATGCATAGGCCGGAGTGGGGAGCTGTGTGAGCTATGAGCCACGAGCCACGCTGGTCTTAGTTCACGTAAATTGTAGTGGTGAGTTGCAATAACGTTCGTAGGCTGCAAAGGTTGCAATTGAGAGCTGCACGAGTTATGAGCCACATAGGTCATAGTTGGTCATGTCGGCCGTACTGGTGAGTTGTAACAACATATGTAGGCAACAAAGGCTGAAGTTGAGAGTTGCCTGAGTTCTGAGTCACGTAGGTCACTTATGTCGTAGAGGGTTGCTGTAATAAAATGCATAGTTCACAGAGGGTGAAGTTGGGAGCAGCGTGAACTGTGAATCATATAGGCCGTAGTTAATCACATATACCGTAGTGGAGAGCTGTAATAACATTCGTAGGTCACAAAAGCTGGAGTTGGGAGTTGCGTAAGCTATGAATCACTTAAGCCATAGCTAATCACATAACATGTAGTGGGAAGCTATAATAACATTTGCAGATTATAGAGGTCTGAGTTGGGAGCTATGTGAGATGTGAGCCACATAGCTCGTAGTTTGTCACATAAGCCATAGTGGGGAGTAGTGTTAGTTGGCCTCAAAGGCTAAAGTAAGGGGCTGCAATTACAGTGAGCCACATAAGTCATATGTCATATTGAGGAGCAACGACGAGAGGACCTCACGAGTTTGAAGAAGATCATTGTGCTCTGATTAAGATAGTTGTAAGCAGTTGTTGCATGGAGCTATTCCTTTTTTTTATGGAAAACTGTTACACTGAGTTCAGGTTGTGTCATTACATCTTATTTTTTGGTGCATAGTTATACCATTTTTGGTTGCATCATTACAACATCTTTGGGGTGTGTCATTGCACTGTCTTTGTGGTGCGTTTTTAAACTGCCTTTGGGTTATGGTTGCACTATCTTCGTAGTGTATCATTACATCATCTTCAAGGTGCATTATTACACTATAAAGTTCATCGATGATAATGAATAGGGGTCAACTAGTGGTGGTCGAAGGCGGTTGACAACTAGTTGTTGAAGGTGGTCGATGAACGGTTGCGGGAGTAGGAAATGTTTGTCGGGTTTTTTCGGTCGACAATAACATTGGAATTTGGCTCCTCTTGGTCTAGCTCTACCTCTAGGTCTCCCTCCTTCGTCCATGGCCTCAACCCTCCTTCATGAAGGGGTAGGTTATTCATAGAGTTTGGGAGTGCCCATCTGCAAATAAGAAAGGATTTTAGACCACTCCATCAGACTACCTAGAGAGATTCTCATGATTGATTGACATTTTATGGACCATTAAGTGTCTTAACAATGTCAAAATTGAGTGAATTTGGGGTTCATTGGATTTGTCTTATCGAGAAGCTCACTTTGACTACAAGCTCGTGAGATTTAGAATCCATATGAAAATCTAATTTGCCACTTAAGTTAGGCCTATTGGTGTCGTTCTGTTCATCTCGTCGATTCGGTCAGTTTGACTGCAAATTTGCTGGAATTGAAGTTCTAGATGGGTTTTAATTTGAGTTTGATTTTTTTCGCTAAAAATGCTCCAAGATTTATATCAATCAGCTTGATTCATGCCAAACGATAAAATTTGTTAATGTTGTATCAATTGCAAATATTTTGGGTGATTTTGCAAAATTTATCAAAATCATGAAAATTGGGCAAAATTTATGAAAAATGTGGAAAATTTTAAGTTTTCTGGAGGTAGCACATGGAGTTAGCAGGCATCAATGAATGCAGCAGGAGCACCCAATTGGCATGGCTATGTTGCAGGTCGCGATAGGCCAGGTCAAGCCTTAAAGTAGGCTGAAGGCAAGCCGGGTATGAGATCGGGTTTGTGAGCGGGCCATGCAGTCGCGAGATCATTCCTCACATGGAAGTGCGGTGGCGCAATCGTACAGATTTCAATTGGCTGTGAGACAATCGTTGATCTGGTTGGATTAGATGACTGGGGTACTATTTTTGTGATTTTTTGTGATCGATCTAGATTTGGTCATTTTGGCCAATTTTTTTTGTCCTTTTTAGCCTCAAGGAGAAAGAGATATGGGCATCAAAGA